GGCAATTGTTGGAGATTCCAAAAATAATATTATATACAGAGTGTTCCATTTGAAAAATCAAAGTTGCTACTGCTTTCTAATAGAAGCGGCAACACCGCATTGTCGAAAATATTTTAGTTGGCTAGAGAATGTCCGAATATGCCCTCCATTAAATTTTGAAAGTGATCCGTTGTCTGGTTCACCAGAAACGTCTAATGTGCCATCCACCGTGAATCAGCCTATATATCTTGGATGTCTGAGTTATTACTTCATTGCTAACGAAGTGACTTATTTTCTTTGAATGAATAGTAGTATTTCTATTAGATACAATCAATATCTGAATTGAACATTCGATTTTGTGGTATACGCTACTTTTGAATCCTTTCAAAATTTTCAGTGGTTTAAAATCAAATCAATCTCCGTAAGTCTATGTGCATCGGATGCTAGTTCGTTTTTGTTCGTGACTGTTCAGTTTTCTTAAAATTCTTTTTCCATTTGATATTTATTATTTTATTAGGGGAAACTTGTTATGTTATGTTACCAATTATACGTGGAAAACAATTTTAAATGTTTGTTACTGGTGAGACTTCTACAAGAAAATAAATAACAATTTCCATTCAAATAAAATGTTGATTCAATCTTCTAAATATTTGTTATTTTTTTTCTTGAAACGTTTCCCTCACTGAAACATTTTGATTTTTGTATAAATATTTCTGAACAATGACGTAAGTCAACAACATTAACTACAGTTCTCATTATTTGCATCAATTCAGTTAGTATAGATTATATTATTGTTATCGAGTAAATTTAACATATCAGTAGGTATGTGGAATAATATCTCGGGCGAACCAGTTGCTTGCTTCGCAACTGGTTCGTAATGAAACAAATTTTGAATATTCTTGTTGCAATTTCAACAGTCTTGTTGAGAAGGACAATTCAATCATCCAACAGATTGTAACAACAAGTTATTTTTAGCATTTAGATATGTAAGATTTTAAAAAAATAAAAAATGTCATGTAGGTATTCATTTATCAAAATATGTAGTATCAGTCATTATATTACTTGTGTACTTGTATAAAAAAATTTTCAATGAACAATGGTTAGTCACAGTGAGTTATCGATTGTTCATTTACACCAAGCTGATTATCATGCACATGAGGACACATTTCCCTTTTTTATTGATTGAAAGGAGAATAGGGTCACGATCCACTCTCTGGAAATAAAAAGGTTGAAAGTTAGAAACATAAATATGTTTATCAAATAGTACCTGTTACTATTAGAGCAATTTTGTATGGTGTTGAGCTATTTCTATATTGTTAACACATGCCAACGTCCAGCACAAATCAATTCGATAAGGCAAAAATCAGATACTTGATATAATCACTGAATTGTGAGTTCACACTCCAATTGAAATATCATATCGAAATTTTAATTGCAGGAAATAATGGAAGACAGAAGGGTAGTTCCTAGCAGAGGAGTCGATTTGTTGAATATTCGCGAAGAAGAGTTTCAACATCACGTCTCCTACATTGCTCTAGACTGCCATGTTGAACCAGGAACACCAAACAGGGCAGAAAGAACTCTTCCACGAAATCTGGTTCTTAGAACCTCCCAGGTGTTACCGCATGTAAGTATTTTCCATATAATTTCAGAATATATATATAGGCAAAACTTTGTATTCATTTCATATTCTCTACTTACAGTCCAAAGGTGTTTGGAGTACAGATTTCATACCCCAGGGCACTCGCTATGGGCCTCTCGTTGGAGAAATATATGCCAAAGATGCCATACCTGCGTCTTCAAGTAGAAACTACTTTTGGAGGGTGAGTATTGCTTTTTATATATGGGTTTGGGTAGGTTCTTGAAGCGTGTTTGGCCTGTATATATATA